GTGTGTGTGTGAGATATCAGAAAAACTCAAGAGGGAGATAGTGAAAGATAAACAGTGTAAAAGAAAGGAGAGGGCAAGCAGAGCTGCCTCACTAACAACCAGTAAACACAGCAACAGCCTGAACATCAATTCTGTTCACAACTGCAGTGTGTCAGCTGTTTTGGCATCTTCTACAGTCTGTCCTAACACTGCATGGCTTCTCTCAAGTTTTTTTAAATTGTACTTACTGTAAATCCATGTCACGTTCCAAAACACAGCTCTTAACAAAAAGCTGTCATGTTTTATACATCAGAGGGCCGTTACTGAATCTGCAGTTAACAAATCAAATCAAAGCCCGTTTACTCACCGTACTCATAATATATCTTCTGTGTTTTTTGAGGAATCTCCCCAACGTCAGAAAAAATATCCCAGAATGTTGCAATGGAATAGACTTCAGATTTGTGAATTCTAGTTTTTCAGTTGTTTCTTTTTGACTTTGATCTTTCTTTTGGCCATGCTAATGGTGGTGTGGTTGTTTGGGAGGTTTTGACTTTTGACTTTTTGGACATTGGCCCAGATTTAAATATATTAACTGTTTAACATGGAGCATTCATGTCCCTGTCAACTTTAGTCGTAATAACTATGGCAATCGTATGATTTTTCAGCCAGCGCCACCAGAAGGTAAACAATTAAGATGGTCCAATACACTTTTTGTACAACGTACATTAAGGCCACTTAAAGGGTGAAAAATGTCAAATGTTGGAGAATAAAATCGTAACATTACTAGAATGAATTTGACTGTGTGCCATTTTTAGAGGAGGAATATCAGAAGATCTGCTTCTGTTGAAAATATGAATGTGGAGCATCCTCAGTTATATTTTAGTATAAGCTTCACAAAACTTTTGGCACAACAGCTCCACATTAAGTATTAGGACTTTGAAAAAGATTGGGCAATAACTCACTATCGTGAAGAAAGAACTACATGGAGAAAGTTGAAAATCTTTTGTGGAGGAGGAAGTGTCTGGTAGCAGTCGATGTGACCGTTGTAAACAATGTTGGTTACAACGGTAAAATCTGTCTCACATTTAAAGGTCCAGTGTATAAGATTTAGGTGAAAGGGAACTATTGGCAGAAATTTAATGTAGAATAATCCTTCTGTTGTTTTCACGAGATCATTTCATCTAAATTGTATGAATTGTAGTTTTCTTTACCCCAGAAAAGGCCCTTTATATTCAAATACTTTATATTTACATCAAGGGGACCCTCTCTACTGAGGCCGCCATGTCTTTTACATTAGTCCAGACTGGACAAACTAAACACCTTTTGAGTTTTTATGACAACTGAAGCTTCCAGAGGTTTTTTTTTTCATGTTTGGAAGGAGAGGGTGAGGTGAGGGGTGTTTAGCTGCAACATGCAATTTCAACACTGGATATCACTAAATTCTACACACTGTACCTTTAATGGAAGTTTGTAGTTCCTCAAGAAATGATAAGTTTGATGATCAAGAGAAGTGTGACTTGGATTCTTCTTTTTAGTGACTTCCCCCCAAAAATAGATTTTGTTGAGTGTAAGATTTTTGTAATATGACATTTTCCTTTCTTCAAAAGTTAATTTTTTTTCTCAGAATATTAGGAATTAAGTCTTCTAATATTACATTATTCACAATTGTTCACTGTTCTTCAATATGACCCTAAAACTCTTTCATATGTTTGAGACCAAATACCTGTAAAGCTAAAAGCTTTCCCCATCAGCCTCAATTCTGTTTATTGCTAATTAGCAAATGCTTTGATGCTAACACACTAAACTACTATGGTGAAAATGGAGAAAACAAATACCCCCTGCTGAACATCACTATAGCACTTCCACTGTGAGCATGTTATCATGTTAATGTTAGCATTAGCAACTCAAAGCCCTGCAGTGGATAAGTCCAGCCTCACAGAGCTACTAACATGAGTCTCAGTCTTCATTGACAAACATGTAACTGAGAGAACCCAGCTGTTAGGGATTAGAATACAAACATGACAGGTAACAGGACAGAGTGTCCATGAAATTAAGTGCAGAGTTTCATGAGTAAATAAGGTCTGAGTAGAACTTAGACAAAACAAGGCCCCACAAAGTCATCTAATGAACTCAATGCCATGACTGTGTGGATAATTTACACCCTGTGTCAGAACAAACGGATAATTTACGTGTTTTTCTCTCTTTCAACGTTGCCTGTGTTTTGTTCTCTGGGGCCAAGTGGGTTTAAGAAGTGACACATCTTCCAAAGCTGATGTAAGCACAAAGTAGAGGCGCTGCTGGGAAACACAGCTCGCTGAGCTTGTTTGGAAGAGTGAAACGAACAGAAGTGACATGCAGCTCTGGTTAACGGAGCTTCAGACCTCTCAGAGAGCGTGTTGGCTGAGGGAACACCCAGCACCCCTGGCAGGTGGTGGTGTTGTGGCTTGATAAGTCTGGGCCCCCACAGTGCAGAGCACACACTGCCTTGATAACAAGTAAACACACTCAAGTGAACCATCTCTGGCTCAGTTTTGCTGCGAGTACAGTGACATTGCAATAACACAGAACTGTAAACACAAATATTCACATGGTTACATCTGAACTCAGGATTATTTCTTGTTTTTCCACTTTGGGAGGGTAATTGTGTGTGCGTCATCTGTTCTGGAGATCTGTTGCAGGAACACACACAAGGAGACTGAGTGCTTTAACTGGTGGGTGGGTTTCTGTCTGTGTAGAGATTATGTCACCACAATAGTGTTTCAACAGCGTTACACCTTCCCGGAACTTTCAGGTGTTGAGATAAAAAAAAATAAAGGCTGCGTTCCAAGATGGGCGTGTACCAACTGAGTACTCACAAAAGTAATGATATGAGTGTACTTACTCTCATTATATTGATTTGAGACTTTACTTAAACGGTCAAATAAGAACTCAGGAAGCATGTTTAAGTACAAATTCTTTATTTATTTTTTTGGTATGGCTTCTTGGAAGGGACTGTAAAAGACATTTTTATTGAAAAAGTCTAGAGAATTTCTGATGCAACCAGTCGAGGATCTACAAACGAGCATCTACTGTAGTTCTGTGCACCTCAGCAAATCCACCAACATGGTGACAGGAGGGAACAAAATGAATACGACACCTCTGGATCTGCAGATTAAATGACATCAGTGCCACAACTACAGTCATTGTAACAAAAAAAGCTATTTTAACTTAGTATCTCTTATAAATACCTACATATAAATATTGTAAATGTACTGGATGACTGAAAACATTTTAAAATGCTATACATGAATGTCCTTTTGAGAGCAACAGTTAAATCTCAGTGAGAAAATAAGAAAAAAAAAAAATACACTGTTGTTTGCGCTCAGTGTCAGCTACCTTTCAAAATCGATACACAGCGCTCCCACATACTGCATGTGATTATCTATATCCATCTGAAATGATCAAGACCCAAGTATTGGCAAGATTAATATAACTTACTGCTGAGAACAGTTAGCAGTTACAAGGGGCTTTCCGCACTTGGTCCTGTCATGGGGGTAGCGCTTGAAGAATCAAGAGTTTCAAAAAGGTTCTCTCTTTATTAAGGCCTCTTTACTTAAAACAAATAATAAAAAAATGGAGCCCTGACATCAAACTCTCAAAACAATGTCACTCCCACAGTTTTATTCCAAAACTTGCTATTTTTTCCTTGAGGTGAAACCTCTCGCCATCCTCCTGCGAAGCACTGAACGCTGGAGGTTTGTTCGTGGGGCAGTGCTCCACCTAACTGTGGATGTTGCACCTGAACAGGATGATTAAGAGATGCTGAGAGGCTTTCTCAATCACCACCCTGCGCCTCCATATCCACCCAAGATACTACGTAGTTGGGGGGGAAAGCGGTACTTCATGTCCCAGACAGCTCGCCAATAATCAATATGTACCATGAATCTGACATGCAGAACTGATTGAGCTACAACCTATGACAACATTTATAATAATCACATAGACACAAAAAAATATGACAATGACAATATTAAGGAGAATAAAAATAATAATTAAAAATGAAGTGTCAGCTTCTGGAAGCCCTTGGAAGCCACCATATACTTAATGCTGTTTAGCATCCCAACCTGAACCTCGACAGTCCTCAGATCCCTGCCTGCCCTCTTACCCTTTATCCAATGAGCAAATGGCTCATCCTGATCGTATAGTGCAATAGTCCTACCCTTTTTCCTGAAAGCCCCTGCTGACAACAGCCAGGTCACCCTGTAGGGTGTTTCACTATTGTCTGTTCAAACGTCAGCGACCATAACTCCCTCCCTCCCCCTCCTCCTCCGCCTGTACCACCCCCTCTCCTCGCAGCTTCCTCTACAGCTCACTGCATACGATCCGGCTGGATGTGGTGCTGCGGGGCGTAGTGCAGGAAGGCCGGGGCTGGGCCGCCAGCGGAGGGGAGGGTCGGGTGGACGGTGGCTGGGGCTGTGGCTGCGGCGGCTGGACCGGCTGAGGCTGTGGGGCTGGTAGTGTAGCTGTAACCCATGAAGCCTGCTGGGGAGGCAGCGTATGGGTACTGCTGCTCAAAGGCGGCCTGGGCGTACTGAGTGTAGGCTGAGCTGTAATCCAGGTAGGGGCTGCTGCTGACGGAGGTGGAAACTTGAGTGGGCAGCACCAGGCTGGGCTGCACAAAGGCTTGTGGGTAGACATATGGCTGGGCCAACCTGCAGATAGACACAAAGACCAAACAGGGAGGTGGGTTAGACAGTGGGACTGCAGCAGCAGAGCAGAGAAATCCTAAGGCCTGGCTTCTATTGTTTACATTGCTCCCTGAGGATAAGCGTGTTGGGAATATAAACTCTCTGTACGTGTTCTGAACTTGGAGAGCTTTCACACAGATCCACTGTTATTAAAGACTAAATAGACGAGAGGCAGGAGGTCGAAGGTGACTCAACTCCCAGTTTGTGTCGGTTAGTAGAACCTACAAAACCGGTTAGGTAGGGCCTCCTGAGGTAGACAAGGGGGGGGCGATAGTCAGCCGTTACTGGCAGGTTTTCAAGCTCAGGCATCAGCAGAGTGTTTTAACAGCTGCTGCTCTTCACTCATTGAATACACAACACACACACTCAATACACACGCACACAGAGAGGAAGTACATGAAGGTAGTGCAGAAGTTACTCTCTCCTAGTTCTCACTGGGTATGTAAATCTTATACAGACTGCTACAGGTGATGATGCTATAGCTGGGGGAGGTATTATGTCAGCGGGGGAGCTCATCGGGGCTGAGTGCCAGGCTCTGCTGCGTCTCATGGGCCGGGATGTAGCTGATTAGAGCTGTGGGGTCTGGGGGATTGTACTGTGCTTTGCCACTCGATCCGTGAAGGAAAGCAGAGGGAATTTGACTTTCGAGGAGCTTGTTTTTATCTCAGGCCTTGGAGTATCTCTCTTGAGATAATGTCATGGGTGGGTGGGTGAGTAAGGGGGGCAGCGAGAAAGAAAACTTCCATATTGAGGGTGATGTAACCAACTGTGTTTGAGAGGCTTTACCCATGATACTAACACACACACACACACACACACACACACACACACACA